CTATTCCTCCTATGTTTACCTCTCCATGGTCAGCTTTTACATTTTTGGTGTCTCATTTCAAAATTAAGTCTCTCAGTTCACTAATTGATATGCAAAGCTTGGGTTCAATGATCTGGCTTCCTTAATACTAAAAGTTTTATACTGATATGTATACCCTGGGTTAAAGTGTATTTTAAAAATACACTAAGGAGTTGGGGTGTTTTGTTGTGACTGTATAGGATGTTGGTTTGGCCACTTTTGGAATACTGTTTGATTCTGGCCTCCCTCTTGTGAGAAGGATGTTTTTAAACTTAAAGTTCAGGTGATTTGCAAGGATGTCTTCTGAGTTGGAGGGCCCTCAATCTAGTGGGCATAGGCCTAAGCTGAGAGGGGAAGGATTTAAAAGGGACCTAAGACAACTTTATCACAATTCATACATGTATTGCATGAGCTGCCAGAGTGAATAGTGGAAACTGGTACAATTACAACCTTTAAAAGCTATCTGGATGGGTACATGAATAGGAAGGGTTCAGTGGGCAATGGGCCAAATACTGGCAAATGAGACTAAAGTTACTGAAGTAACTAGTTGGCCTAGATGAGATGGAGTGTGCAGTGTTTGCCAGTTGTGCATTGCTGGCTCTCATTTGGCAGAGTGATAGTACCCTTTTATCTAGGGTTACATATCTTTCTGGGTTCAAATCCCACTGGCCCTGGATGTGTACAGAACTTTATTTAAAACTAGTACAGTGGATTGAGTTACTAATTTGATTAATCTGTTCATAATGCTTAACTAATTAAATTTTAATATTTTTGAATGGTGAATTTTCACTTGAAGTGATTGGTTAGCAGCTGAAATTTAATGCTGATATGTTGGTACTTACTGCTTTAAGTACTAGACCTGGGGAGTGACACTATTAAACTGTTAACTGGGAGAATATGTTCTTCAATTAGTCATTGCTTACCATTGGGATTGTTCTGCTAAATAGATGGAACTGCAGATTGGAAGCTGGCCTAGAACTCTAATCTAAGCAGCACTAACTATCCCTCCTACCTTCCACTATCATGCTTTCATACCAGACATGATCAAATATGCTATGACCCACCTCTGACACAGGTCAGCCTTCAACCAGGGACTCCTGGTCTAGAAGTTGGAGCACTACCTTTTTTTGTGCTAATGTGCCCTTTCCAAGGCAATTACTTTCTCCTGCAAGAATGAAGCAATTTGAATTGGAAATGTCAAATTTGCTTTGCCAAATACAGGTAATCAGCTGTGGATGTTACAGCTGTGAAATGGGTTGTGCTGGAGAAACTCCAAGTCCAGCAGCAACCATGGCATGAATTGCTTCTGTATATCTTGAGTGAACATTTTACCCTTTTTTTAAAAAGTCATGCTGAGCTTGAGTACTCTCATCTGGTGTTACTAGATATGAGTTTCTCTAACACTTTGTACTTTAAGCCCCTCCTGAGCCAGGAGGAAGGAATAATGTTATTGGTAAAATTCATGATCATTAACTTGGGCATTGTCTGACCTGATCTTTCCTCCTCCTGCAGTTCTCTTACTTTGACCGGGATGATGTTGCCCTGCGTCACTTTGAGTTCTTCAAGGAGCAGTCTCATGAGGAACGGGAACACGCTGAGAAACTGATGGCATTCCAGAATAAATATGGAGGCTGCATCGTCCTGCAGGACATCAAGGCTAGATTCAGTGTACATGAGAATTAGTCTGGCACCTCCTCTAATGAGAATTGATGGTGGGACTCCTCCAATTGAGGGAATTGGAAGCAGCCTTCATTCAGAAATGAATCTGGATAGCAAAAGATGCATTTGGGGTAAAATGTTGCCATCTACCCTGATTTAAACTAGGTTCCATAATGAACTCAATGAGGCGTCATGGCAGGTGAGGGATTTATACTTGGTGCTGTACAAGCAAATGCAGATTAAAAGCTGGCTTACTGTTCCAGAAAACCTGATTGGCTAGTACATGTAGGATTGAGATGTAAGGCAGTTTTATAGAAAGTAATGTTGGCCATCACTTGGAAGTTTTTGGTTCCTCTTCAGAATATTTAAATAAATCTCCATATTTCTGAGGAGAGACAAGAATATCCAATTTGTGATGGAGTTAAATGCTAGAAAACAGGTTTGTCTTAATAATTTTCATAAAGCTGTTTTATGTCCAGAAATGGTCAGCATTTCAAACCTGTGAAACCTCAAGTCAAAAGGGAAGGCATAGTGGTCATGTCTACCTTCAGATTCTGAATTAATATTCAAGGAATGTCAGTTTCAATCCTCCTGTGGAAGACTGACATTAAAATTGCAAATCAGGATCCAAGTGGAGACAGTGACCATGGCACTGCAGTAATTTACCAGTAAAATGAAATCTGGTTCTCTAATGCCTCCTTTGGCAGGAGAAATCAGCCATTGTTGCCTGGTCTGCACAGTAGGCAAACAAAAGCTCAGCATTTAGCACTGCTACCTCATGGCACCAGGGACCTGGATTTCAATCCATCCTTGGATTTCAATCCATCCTTGGATAACTGTGCAAACTCCACAGACATTACCCCTGTGTCTGTGTGGGATCCTTAGTGTTCAGTTTCTTACAGTCCAAAGATGTGCAGGTTGGGTGGATTGGCCATGCTAAGTTGCCCATAGTATCCAGGGATGTGCAGGTTAGGTGCATTCCCCATGGGATGCACATTACAGGGATGAGTAGGTCTGGAAGGGATGCTCTTCAGAAAGTCAGTGTGGACGTGATGGGCTGAATGGCCTGCTTCCACTACACCACTTCTATGGTCCTATGATACAGGTGACTCCAGACCCACAGCTATGACTTGACTCTTTTCTGACCTATAGAAAGCTTAAGTAAGCAATTCCAGTCAAGGGTGATTGGGATGGGGAAACAAATACTGGCAAAGGTACCATGATCCATAAAGGGATGGAGGCAGATGAAGAGGGAGCAACTTGGTCCTGGCATCACTCATGTCAATCCTGTCCAACGATTGTCAACATTCCTTGCTGTGATCTTTGTTTTTTGATCTGTTTTGTGCTGATGAGCAACTAGTGGTTGGAACTAGCTCATTCTCTTTTTTTCAGAAGCCAGAGCAGGATGAGTGGGGCAATGGTCTGGAGGCAATGCAGAGAGCTCTGCAGATGAAGGATTGAACCAGAGTCTGCTGGATCTGCACAAACTTGCCTCTGGCCACACGGACCCTCATGTGAGTTTTTAACCTGTCCCTCATTTGTCACTTGTGTAAATTCATGTACAGATGGAAAGTATTCACTGAATTGTTTACTGGTATTCCTTCTCAGTTGGAGAAGGAAACTACAAACACGTAATCAGTGGTCTCAAACAAATGAGTAATGGTGTATGAACTGATCTACCAGGCCACTGTCTACTTTGAACAATACCAAGTTTTTGCAATTAAATAAGTCATGTTAAAGTCACAAGTGACAGGCACTTAATTGGAGCTGCCATTTGAGTATAAGAAAAATTTATGGGTTTTCCAACTTTGGAGTCACCAGGAGAAGATGCCCTTCCTGGGTGGATAGGCAAGGGGATCTTGGGCAAAGGGGTGCAGTTGTTGGGGTCAACAATGATGTAAAATTAAATTCACTTGGACTCCTTAAGCCACTAATAAGACACCAAAATTTAATTTCCATTTGGAGACATCTGGACATAGTTTTATGTTCAACTGATCAAGCTACAGGTAGTTCTGTCTACAGTAGGTTCCTTATCTCAAGGTACTAATCTCTTAGGCAACTGCAAGATGAATTTTGGGACACTTCACTATTTGGAAGTAGGAACTTCTTAATTAAAAGTTTGATACAAGCTCAGCTGCTACACTCTTGTACACTTTCTGAAGACATTGGGCATGAAAACCCAATCCCTCTAATGTTCACTGAGCTAACTGTTTTTCTTTCTCCAGTTGTGACTTCCTGGAGAGGCACTACTTGGATGAGCAAGTGAAGATGATCAAGAAGCTGGGAGATCACATCACCAACCTGAAGAGACTGGGAGCCCCTGAGAATGGCATGGGAGAGTACCTGTTTGACAGGCTCACGCTGAGCTGAATGGGAGTTTTGGACAAAATTGTGAATGACTTGTTGCTAATTCTGTCTTGATCTGCTGTGGAAACAAAGTATTTGACAACTAGTGTTTGTCTATTTCTGTAGTGATTTGTGTTAAAAGCTGTTTTCTGCCATGTGATTTTACTTCTCTCCAATGATTGAAATATGGAGAAGACCATCACCTTGCATATAACTAGTTGTTGCTAAATGTAGCTGTGCTCATCTTCCCCCAGCCTCACTTGAGGTTATGCTAGTTGCATAAAATGTAGCACATCTGAAACTTCCAGTTTACTGGGGGAAAAACTTACCAGGTGTGGCTGCATTTAGGAAGAGAAAGCAGACTCTACACGATGAGTCCACTGACTCATCCTTGGAACAACTGTCAAACTGTAATAATCAATCATTGCAAGTGTCTCCAATGTTAGCCTACAGTGGCTAGAGCTCTAAACCAAATAGGACTAAAGGGATTTTTGTTCCTTTTTTTTTTTGTAAACTAATACTGGGGTAAGCTATTCAATCATTTGAGTTTATTCTAATTGATTGGATCAGCCATGATTTAGGTTTTTGTTTTCAAGTTGCATCCTAGTTCATGCCTTCCCAATGACATTCTCATTAAGAAGAATGGATCTACCTCTGCCTTGTATGGGAGTGCTGCTTCTGATTCTTAACTTTGTTTTTTTTTTGTGCCACTTAGTTTTAACTCGTATTGTCATCTCCATCTCCTCCCCAGCAGAAGATGCAAGCATTCTCCATCAATTCCACTCAGTCCTTTCCAACATTTCATACTAGTATGTTGCTTCTCGCTTCTCATTTCCTGTCTAGCTGGTACAACTGTAATCTGTCCTAAGATAGCCTGCCCTTTTTATCAGGTTTTAGATGAGGAAAGATAGCCTGCCCTTTTTATCAGGTTTTAGATGAGGAAAGGCTTCTTACACTTAAGAGGCATTAGTGTCAGCCTTGAATATGTCCTGTACACATTAATCCAGGTGTGATCTTCAGTGCACTGTGTAACTTAAACTCAACTTTTTTTGGTTTGTTTTTAAAAGCATTGTGTGATAAATAGTGATATCCCATTAGCCTTCACAATCCAACCCTGGACTTGCATGCTCATGCCCTTCATGTAGAACGCACTGAGGGACTGAATCCAAGTGATTGTGGAATTCCCAAACAAAAAAAGTGTCCAGTTCTGGTTGCCCTGTTATAGGAAGTGTACTATTAAGCTGGAAATGGTGTGGAACAGGTTTCACATAATGTTGCTGGGAGTATAGGGTTTGAGCTCTTTGGAAAGGCTGAGACTTTTTTCACTGGAGCATATGAGGTGATGGGTGATCATGTAGAGTTTTATAAAACCAGGAGGAGTACAAGGTGAATGGTAGGTGTCTATTTCTCCCTTAGGTGGCAGATTTCAACACCCAAGGTGTGCGGAGAAAGATTTTAAAAAGACATTAGGGGCAGTTTTTTTTAATGCAGTGTGATTTGTGTTTAGAATAAACTTCCAAAGGAAGTGGTGGATGCAGGTATAGTTCCAAAGTTTAAAAGACATTTAAGTATATGAATAAGAAACGTTTGGAGGGATAGGGGCCATACTGTAGGCAGATGGGACTCATTCATTTTGGAATAATGTTCGGCAGGCACTAGTTGGACCGAAGAGTCTGTTTCCATGTTGTACAACTGTTTCCATGTTGTACAACTCCATGAGAGAAACGTTCACCAGTTCAAATACTATCGGTTGAGAAAACATGACACACAAGCATTCAAATAAAATAAAATGCCTGCTAACTGACTTGAAATTTGTAAAAGGTTAGATAAAAGTGTAAATTAAACATTAGACTTTGCAATTACACTTCATTATGAAGTAGGAGCTTCCCTTGAGATACCTACTTGATCCACCTTCCAATTCCCCAATGTGTCGGTTGGTGCACAGATTCTCTGTGGATTGTTTAGTTTCAAACTATTGTCAGCATTGGTCTCAGGGATTCATGAGGGACCCACCAAGATACCCATCAATTCTCCAAGAGAATAACTTTGATCCAGCTGTGCTCAATGCCATCTACAGGATGGAACTCCAGTTGCAAACTCATCAAACTCTGAAACGATTTTTTCAAAGTTCTGATTCTGAGGACCATAGTTTCTGTCAGTCCTCCCTCAAAAAGGCCTCCATTCCATTTGACGTCTAGTGGAGGGTATGTCCCGGACACATTCCATTCAAATGCCCCATTGTCTCCCATCTGCACCAAGGACCTGCACCTTCATCGGGCACCGTAGGTAAAATGGAACGCCAGTGGTGCCCAGATGGAATGCATCTGGAATCTTGTGAGCAGTTTTGGGCCCTGTATCTAATGAAGGATGCGCTGGCATTGGAGGGGGTCCAGAGGAGGTTTACAAGAATGATCCCAGGGATGAAGGACTTGTCATAGGAGGAGAGTTTGAGGACGCTGGATCTCCTCTCAGTGGCGTTTTGAAGGATGAGGGGGGATCCAGTTGAAATACTGAGAGATCCTAGATAGAGCGGATATGGAGAAGGTGTATCTACTAGTTGGACAGATGAGGAACTGAGGGTATAGCCTTAGAGTGAAAGGACAACAGTTTAGAACTGAGATGAGGAGGAATTTCAACCCCAGAGGCTGGTGAATCTGTGGAACACATTGCTGCAGAGGGCTATGGAGACCAATTTTTGAGTTTATTGAAAACAGAGAGAGCTAGGTACGTGATTGGTAAGAGCTTCCAGGGTCATGGAGAGAAGGCAGGAGAATAGCGTTGAAAAACATCAGCCATGACTGAATGGTGGTGCAGACTCAATGGGCCAAATGGCCTCATTCTGCTTCGATATCTTGCGTTCATCATCTTAAAGAGAGTTCACTCCTACTTTCCTCAATCCACAACTATATCCATATCCAGAACCTGAGCACCTGTAGTTTCGTGACACTGTTTACATTTCCCCAACCAGTACACACTGCAGGGACTGGAGTCAATTCTGAATACAATGAACAAAACTGTAACTTCAAAAGGTTTTTATCTTCATTCCATTATCATTTGGAATCCATTGTTTCCTGCACTTTGAATGTGTAAATATTTTCCTAATCAACTTGCTCAGGGATGTTATGATACGCCTACAGAGCAGATGGAGCTTGAACACAGGCCACCTGGTTCAAAGGGAGGGACACTACCACTGCACCACAAGAGATAGACTTTTAAGGGGGACTCGAGCAAAGGCTTATTTGATTGAAGATTTAATCATCTTGCTTGATTAACTGTGTCCAGATCCAGTACCCATCCAAACCTCTTTATCTTCCAAATCTCTGGTTCTGGGTGTCAGCATATTCCCCAAATCCTGCTCTCCTTTGTTCATTGGTGCCCAGATTCAGGGAAGGTTCCTG